CCACGCTTTACAATGTTTGCGTTCAACATATATATATATATATATATATAACAAAAATATTGAACGACGCTATATATGTAGCGCCATCGTCGCAAGGAATGCTCGCCCGATCAAGAGCGATAAAAAGGCGGGCAGTGATCGTCCCTGAGCAGTCGCTCCGTTTACCACTTTGCGCGCAACGGCCGCTGCTGCTACTACGTTACCGCAGAGATTGTAGATTCTTGTTGTGTCACCATGTATGATGAACCGGCCCGCACCGCGTTTCCACAACACGAAGTAATCGTTTTGATGCCACTTTTCCCTATTGGCCCCGCTATTCCACGGATCACCAACCCATTCTATTAGAGCCATTCACAATAGCGGCGACTGCGACTCTCACCTCTCTGTCTAGCAGTCTCTCTAAGTGTCCTATTTTTCGTCTGTTAAGGATCTCGTTAAGAAGACGCTTTGTCAAAACGGCCAAGTGTCTTTGAGCTAATCGTATCGCTCGGACAAATACTGCCATTGCATTAAGATAGTTCCCAATGTATCAATTAGCAGCAACGTTGGTCCCCAATCCCTTGACTGTTTGGCGTGACACGTATTACTCTGAGCGTGACAGAGTATAGCAAGAAGTGCTGGCGCTAATTCCACATCGACTACATGATGTGGCAGTTCAGGCAAGCTACTGGTAGATTTGTGCAGTCCATGCACGTTCGCTTGGGTTCGTGTGAGCGTTACAAAAAATTGCCCTTGGTCGCGTGGTCATCCACCAACGACAAGAGTAGCAGACGACTACGACGGCTGGAGACCGTGAACGTAAGAACATATTCTAACGTGAATTGTTTAGGCAGAGAGGCGTTCCTCATCTAGCAAACTCATGAGTTCTCAACCTGTGTGTTTATCGTTTAGGAACGTTACTGTTTCTTCAAATTTAATAAACGATATTGCCGTATCTGATTGCTTTTTGTCTTAATTTGACGTATACATTCTAATCATTACGATAAGTATGTATAAGATTTCTATGTATGTTTAATAAAACCCACAACAACCCGGGTTGTTTGGGTTGTAATCAATAGCTCTGCTCTATTCGAGTGTCCATTTGCGTTTGCATTCAATTAATCAGTAAACGTTCATCTTTCGACCAAGAAGTTGAATGTAAGTGTTGACAATTCTATTCGTTTCTTCTAATTTTATATGTAAGCTCTTCGTTTTTGTTCCGTGGTTTCAGTCAGCCAAAAAAAGGCACAACTAAATAGACAACTGTCAAGCCACTCCTTTCAAACATAACCGGCCTCTTAGATATTGTACCTTTCCTCACAAAGACGTTAATATACTTCTTAGACATGAGATATGTTGACTCATTTGTAAAGCTGATGTCACCGTCTCTGTTTGAAAGAAACCGCTACCTAAAGAAACCTCTCGTTTTGGCTAATAATATGAGTCCAGCGTATGTTTGCTGGACCGCCTGAAGAATAGGCTTACGTTTTGAGCCTGGAAAAAAGCTTTGGAATTAATCTGCCATTTGAACGCGCTTATTTATGTGCACGACGTGGCGTTGGCGAGACTTGATATATCCTGTACGCTTCCTCCTATCGAACCGCCCACATCATTTGGGTCTCATCTACACTGCCCAGGATGTATCTTGATGTACACTTTTTCGATTCCTATTTACAAAATTGAATTTCCTCATCGGACGGGTGCTACGAATGGACCAGTAGCTCTACACTGGCAAATTAAAGGATAGCTGCTTACAATATATTTACATTTCTATCTTAATACTAGTTGAAGCAAAATATATCCGCTCGATTTCATGTTTACATTCGCAAAAATCGAAAAGAGCTAAATCAGAGCCCATTAGTCAGTGGCATCCCAAAACAAGGCAATGACCTTGGCGAAGTTAAAACGTTGATAGTTCTAATGAATTGTTTGGTAATCCTAGGACGAGCAAATTTTTCCCAGAGTCAAGCTCCGGCAAATGCCTGGCTCCATTAGCATACTGTTAATGGCCGTATAAGCATCCAGGAGGGCCCCCTTCCGGTTGGAAGTCGATGCGGTCCTTTGTTCGCATCTTTGTCAATAAAGCACATTGTTCTTCTCTGCTTCGCCAACAACCCAGTCAGTGGTCGATATTCTATACAAGTGTTTTTAGCATTAACACCATCTTTACTGTCCAAACGCCATCAAGGTCCTCTATTATTTATTTCTATATATGTATATATTCATATGGCATGTTGGGACATCAAAGGATTTAAGTATTACCTGGTGGTTCTGTTTTGTTTCCAATTGGATGAAGTAAATACGTGTTTATCACAAGACATGTGGATGTAGCTGGTTTGAGAAGTCACAATAGAGATAACAGTAGCGGCTCTCCGTTGACATATAGTAGACTATATGAGCTATCTGTTAACCAATGAAAGAACGGGTCTCAATAAGGACGACTGCTTACTATATTTAATTGCCTGCGTTAAACTCATCTATATTAGCTTTCAGTGATCTGACGAATTCATTCAAAATGAACTCCCGTCAGTAGGCTCTGAAGTCCTCGGGGCGGCCACAAAGTTCGAACAACTGGTTCGTTCAAATTCGTCTGCTTCAAATGCGTTTGACAGATAAACGCACGAACGGAAAAAAGTCTAATCTCAAGGGTTATAAAGCTTAAATAATAACAGTTATACGTAATCCGTCGATTGCTACACTCTCACCCCATAGCAATGGGCTTTTGCAAGTTCAAGCCATCCCCAGTAAATCCGTTAACGCTTAATCCGAGTTCTCTCGACCTAGGAAGGTTCACCGTGCTTTTCATCCCTACAAAAGATCAGTGATGCACTGTCGTAGCCGCAAACACTTGGCCAGTAACTGGACGACAATGTGTATCAACGAACGATAGCAATAATAAGAACTAATTTGTCTATTAAGGAAAGAGAACTATAAAATCGACTAAATCTATTAATATGCCCGTTTTTCTATATACGCTGGGAAGATTGTTATGCGAAGACCGAAGCATTGCCATTGAAACTGTGCTCAAGGGGAGAAATACTGGCACCCATGTTAAGATACAACGAGTGTATGTGAACACTGAATGTCTGGGTGTCGAAAGACAGGATCAAAACGCGGATAATAAACAACTGTAGACAAACAAGTTGTAGGACAATAAGGGCTATATAATTACGGCCTAAGTTCTACTTGAAGTTCAAAACGGTGTTCGTCACTTGTTTCAACTTACCTATTTTGTTTCATCTGATGTTATTCATTCAAATCGGGCTGTTTTAAATATATTGAATTCGGAAGCGTTGAGCGTTCGAGGTGTTCATACTTATTCTTGGAATCTTAATCTCTTAGTCTTGCAACATAATCAACCCGCAAAACTATATGCTGAAGTTTATAAACTCAAGCCTATGATTTAACTATTTTTGGGTTTAGTTGTCAATTATCGCGCTGTTTAAGACCGCAACTGATTTACATTAACATGATTGTTATACATCTAATTTTTCCGAATAGCGATAGATAATTTATTATAAATATGAATATTTGATATATTAATTTTCCATAGCAACCAGACCGGAGATAATAATGGCTTCTTATTTTGAGATGAACCCTCTAGTCGAACACTTGGAGTACATAGGAATTTATAAGATTTTGCGATCTCATTCCAACAATGGAAACGTCCCATACTGGGAAACCAAAGCTACGCCTCTAGTAGATACCAGCCAGACAAACATGTGACAGTGTATATATGTAACTACTGTATCATTATGTAAAGATTATTTCCAAAAAAATGTGTCTTTAAAAAAGATTGCTTCCTCCTGATTTAAAAAATATGTAAGATCCATCTAATAATATTTGCCTAAGTAGTAAGCCTAAGTACAACGATTGGATTAGCTTGCGTAAGATAATTTGATATACTGAGCATATAATAGGACCAATAATTTAATAAATGAGGCCAATTTATGAAAAATTGTTTTATAGAAATTAACTAATCAATAGTTAAGTAACGTGCTTCATGTGTTAACAGCGATAGCCCGTGATCATTTTTAATACCTAATAACCAGCCGTATTAGACGGTACTATATTCAAACATATTTATATATTGTAAAATTTAAGACAACTTCTTCGTTTGTTTGAGCTAGTATACAATGATGTTTTTTTTAAATCAGACGCAGGTCGTTTCTTCACATTCTTACTGAATCCTTAATGACAACTCGAAAAACAACGGCAGCCAAGGATTTCTTCTCATAATGGTTTGCTGAATGACAATGAAGCAAAGCCCTTTACCATGAGATGGTTTGACATCTTGAATGGGAAAAAGAAACCGTGTCCAATAACTCAAACATAAATTAGCTTCCCGTTTATTCAAGATTGAAGCGGGGAAACTAGAATAGAATTGGCGACACATTTGATAAATCCAGCAGCGACTGTCTATGACGAGTTATATATAGAAAAAATACGCAGGCAAATGCCACATGTTATCGCACGTTATATACAATCTGTAGTCGCCGTATGTAGTAATCCCTATTATTTCACTATCATCGTATATATACATATACGATCTTACATATATATATATATATATGTGTGAGACCAGGCTTAACTAAGTTGGTAGATTGGTCACGCGTGGAGAATCGTAGGTTTGGTATCTAGGCCGGCAATAGGCATATAGAATTCCCGTAACAAATCAGGCAGTTTCTATGCTCAAACATGCCCTAATTACTAAGACTTTTGCCATTAACAATAAGTTGCATTTGCAACGTGTTGTTACTGACTATCTGGTCTTAACCAGGCTAGTATGACGCAGTCTTAGCAATAGATTTCATAGTTGAAAAGAAGGAACATGTACATCATTTCTGCAGGTCTGTATGACATTCTTTTAATTTTCGTACGCGTTTTTCAATTGCTAGGTATAGCTACGTGAAAGCTTATAACGGTGTTCTTTCTCGCTCTAACCGGACTCGACTGAGACATTTGTTTAGATTAGCCCTCACACGCAATTATCATTCGTTTCGCTTTGCGTTTTACTTCAGATGATCGGCGATGCGGAGGCAGCAGCGCGGAGCTGAAGGCGGGGGCATTGCGGCCCGGTGGATCACTGGGTTGCGTAGAGTCGTGCGCCAGTCGGACATGTCGGCAGCCAAGGGCCCATTTCGCCTGTTCGGCCTACCGGGCCTGCGAGATTTGCGGACCCTCATGCTGATCAATTGGGGTCGCTCGCACCGAACGCGTTCGGCACACCACGCCAAAGTGACAACACTTCTTCAAGCCGCTGTGTTCTTTCAAGTGGCGCTGCTTTTTGGCGTTCTTGTCGGGCAGGCCGACGCGCGCGCCGCGCCCTCTCTCACGCATCATCATCGACATCGTACGACGGGCGGAATGCCGGCACACGGAGATCCACTTTTTGTACACACGACCAAGGGCCCTATTAGGGGAGTGACCCTACAGGCTGCGAATGGAAAGCTTGTCGATGCCTTCCTAGGTGAGAATAACCTATTTAAGCAGCTCTTGACCGTTACTGAGCAACAAGAGCTCACCTCACCCCGCCAATGCAATCTATATTCATCCGCCTAAAATTTCATATATGTAGAGTACCATCTTATCTTAAAGGTATTTTTAACTACTCAGAGGTAAACGGGCAGAGTTGTTTCATCAATAGGTTAACCTAATAAAAATATGACAGTAATAATCATGAGAATTATCATTATTCTGGTCATATAGCAGTGTTAGCAAAAATGTGAAGGACACTTGGTGCATTTTAATTATATGTTAAGTCAATCGCAAAGTAACGGCCGTTTCTTATGTTGTTTTTGTTTCGTTCATTCGTCGTAAAATTACATTTACTGACAACTGAATAATATATAGCGTTGGAAATCTCTCTTTCTGTCATATTATCAAATCATATACAAAAAGTTCGGGTCTTAACAGCTGAACGTTTTCTTTAAGAAATGCGATAATTTCAGTTATTTATAAACTGAAATATATCATAGAGTTGGTGAACGTGGAGAAATATGAACATTTTTTTAAGTGAACCTTTCTATGTTTTTGTCTCGTATTTTGCCTTACATTCAGAAATACATATGTATTGTCAAGTTCTTTTCGACTAAACGGCTTAGTAAAGTAACGCGCCATTAATCGCGTGTATGACTTCTACTGTTTCCTCATTGCATTATTACCACGCCGTGAGCAAGGTTCTATCAATCCAACAACAGATCGGTTTTTAAGATTGTCTTCGACGCCGGTTTTCTCTTTGTTTTTTTGGCGCCGCTTTTCGTCATGTTTACTTTAGGCATTCCATACGCTAAACCGCCGATTGGCAAGCTACGATTTCGGCACCCTGTCCCGATGGATCCTTGGGAGAAGCCGTTGAACTGCAGTGAACGTCCACCAACGTGCGTACAAGTGCTGGACACATATTTCGAGGACTTCGAAGGCTCAACGATGTGGAATGCCAATACCAACATGAGTGAGGACTGTTTGAATATGCTCGTGTGGGTGCCTCGGCCGAGACCGACGAACGCTGCCGTCCTGCTCTGGGTATACGGTGGTGGATTCTACTCGGGTACAGCGACGCTCGATGTCTACGATGGCCGAATACTTGCCAGTGAAGAAAATGTCATCGTGGTGTCGTTCAACTACCGCGTCGGGTCGCTCGGATTCCTCTATCTTGACCATACAGATGCGCCAGGCAACGCCGGCCTCATGGACCAGGTGATGGCGTTACGCTGGGTGCAGGATAACATCCACTTATTCGGCGGCAACCCCAACAATGTGACGATATTTGGAGAAAGTGCCGGAGCCGTCAGTGTTGCGTTCCATCTTTTATCCCCACTGTCTCGTGACCTTTTTTCGCAAGTAAGTAATTCTTTACAGAGGTATTATTTTTATATGTTAGACGAGAACAGGTCAATTTCTGTCTATATGTAATCCAGAAATCAAACCGCACAGCGCAGGGGCAACGTCGGAAACTCGAAGCTGTAGAGATGCCCGTTGAATCCTGTAGAGCACAGTCCCATCGACGCGGTCTTGCACTCGCAGATTTAAACATAAATTATTGTTATAGCGCACACTTCTATAGGATGATATAATCTGCTGAGAGTGAGATGGCAAACAGCTCTACATTTGACCACTGATTGAACTTAATATAAATTAACTGGCGAATAGTTTTTCTTGGTGCATTCAAGCATTAAGTAATCGTGCTACCAACATGCAATGGCAGGGGGTAAATACCATGCTAGCTTCTAATCTCAAATTGTCCATCCAAACTGCAGCACTCTTAATAGTATTATCGAGTCTTTTTATATGCACTTAATCCATTTAACCTGTAAAAAGTGAGATGTCATTTAATTTGGTTTGAACTACATAAATCGCAACAGGCGACAGTCATCCGGAACAGCTATAAAGGCACCAAGCGGTTCGACCGTAGCGAGTTTTCCGATTAGACTCGAATGACGCTAGCAATAAGATGATATTAAGGGTATATTTGCAGCGCTCCAGAGCTCAACAGGGGAACAAACCCTTTACGATACGTTGGGCTTTTCGCTTCGTTCTGTGGGCCAGCAACTGATGTTAATGATTCTAGTAATCGTTGTAGTAATAGTGGAAGTAGCAGCGGCAGTGGCTGCTGATGCCTTCGCGATCTCTCCAAGGACCATTTAATGCTGTTTTACTCTTTATCGTCGTCGTACGATCCAATCCACGATCCGATCGTACGTGCACCTGTTACTCGCTCATATGCAAATTCACTCGTACACTCACAAAAAAGGGCAGATTGCAACGACAGAAGGTCGCGGGTGAACCAAGCAGGGGGCCAAACAGCAGAAGCAGCAGCAGAGGAAAGGACAACTTAATGTTTCCTGTTTGCTTGTTAACCTGTTCCTCTGCGTATCCTGCTGTCACGCTAGCAGTATGATATAAGGGTTGTAGTAACAAGAAGCGGCCCTTAAAAGAACTTGCGAGCTGGGGAAGCTTCAGGGATCGGAAGGATCATTTGTGAAGAAGGGCTATGTTCGATGGATCCGAGAAAGCAAGCAGCTACCGATCCTGCTGCCTGCCTGTCAGTGGCTGGTTTCACTCCCTTTTATTTCACAGTCAGTATCAACTAGCTGTTAGATAAAAGATGCGTCCTGTAACCGGTAGTGTACCACCGCGAATGCTATAGTGCATTCGGGTGGTTGCTTTGACGGGCCCAAGGTCCGTGTTTTGAATCTGAACTGCCTCCTCGGGACATCCCCCTTTATTCCCGCTCAATCGTGCTACACCTCTTTAGAGCACTGGTGAAGGGTAGGCTTATCCGATCTTTAAGGAACCCCGGAGCAACAGAACTCTCAGCACGCACTTCTCCTTCCTGAAGAGCTCTCGAAATGAAGCAGCGCCACTCTGCCACGATGACAGTGATGCTGTTCACTGTTTCTACAACTGTGGCTTTTGCACAGAGTGTCTTGCAGTCGTTATGGTGCGCATTCATCGCTTCCATGATCGACCTTTGCATTGCCCATCTTATGTGTCTGCTACGCAGCTGCAGATGCAGCTTCCCGTAGCTTACTTCTAACTCTGTGCTGTGTTTGCTACATTTTTGTGACTTGTGTTTTTTTGTTTTTCTGTACGGTGCGAAGCTTCTCCTAAGCTGTGTAGCTGTTCTGTACATAAATATATATTATGTCAGTGCTTATTTACGCCTTAATCGGGTCCTCTTTTATCGGCCTTGTTGTTTTTTCTTTGCGCTGCTTTCAGGCAGTGCTTCAGTCGGGAGGCGCTACCGCCCCGTGGGGTTACCATGACCGCCAAACAGCCATGACCAATGGCTATAAGCTTGCACAGGAGGTCAAATGTCCGTCGGACGATGTGGACGCCACCGTTAAGTGCCTTCGACAGCAAGATCCCGACCTATTGGTGCAATCCGAGATCTTCGCCACGGGAGTCGTAGACTTCTCTTTTATCCCAGTGGTAGACGGAGCGTTCCTTACCGAGCGACCAGAGGACTCGATGAACTCAGGGAATTTTAAAAAGTGCCGAATCCTTCTAGGCTCAAACCGCGATGAGGGGACCTTCTTTATCATCTACTACCTAACGCACCTCTTTAAGCGGGACGAAAACGTCTATCTAACCCGAGAGGACTTTGTCGAGGCCGTGACGGCTCTAAGCCCAATTGCCTCACAAGTGAGTTCTAACTTTTAAAGTTGCTACTAAACAACAAACTTCAACAGGAGTCGTCGTCGTTGACTGTAGGGTCTCTAAGTTATTTTTGTTATACTATTGTGTACACAGCGTATTTAGAAACAAACATCTACCAGTTTCTTATTCCTGCTTGTTCTAATAGGTGCACTTAAGAATGCAATGTTTATTTTTCCTCTATAATAACGTATAATGTATTACTCTTATATTGTAATAGGTCTATGAAAATTATTACAATACGGGCATTCAAAGCAAGCATATTTTGCAGGTGGTGAATGAGGCAATCATATTTGAGTACACAGACTGGCTCAATCCAGATGATCCGATTAAAAACCGAGATGCCGTTGATAAAATTGTTGGCGACTATCATTTTACGTGTCCTGTTGTCGATATGGCCCACTACTACTCATCAGCTGGACTCGATGTTTATATGTACTATTTCGTCCATCGGTCTTCACAGGTATTAAACAGTTACCTTATGATCGGGGTGATTATTGTTTTATGTAACTTTTAAAATTCTTGCGTGATAACCATGGAACTTCGAAGTCATTACCTTGCAACATTGACTTCAGATGATTTCCAGCCAACAAGCGTGTTCCTTAAACTTGATAATTTTCATAATTTTTTGGTGAAATCTACCTCCCACTAGTATAGCAAGCAAGCGTGCTATACTACTGGGGGGTAGTACACACGCATTACACGTAGCATAGACGAATTGGGTCGAGCTATAATAGAGAAGGTTTCTAAAGAAATATAAGAAATACCTCGCAAGGATAGACAACAACTAAGTTTTTTATTTTTTTTAGAAAAGATAGCTTAATGGATTGTATGACTCAACAACGAACTGCTGCAAAAACCTCGATTCCAGATAAGCAGGAGAGGGAAAATTAGTATGCGCCTAATAAATCTGGGTGTACTGAAACGATGAATGGATGTAGAAGCTTTCTTTGCACCGCCACAGTTTCTGGGGTAGTACCGAAGGCCAAGGAAACGAGGAAGGTGGTGGTGGCTGAGGGGTCGAGGGAACGATAGCTAGCTTGGCAGGTTATGTACAAGGGGGTTTGGAATTGTGCATAATACAATAGCCACCAGACATCCGGTGACGGTGTACGTATTGCGGCGAAAAAGGTTCGCTTTGATTCTCACACGGCTCTTTTCTATGTGGTAGTGCTAACCACATGGCCCCATTTCTTCTGGGCCTTTGGCCTGCCGTACTCCCAGCAGTATCGTCCACGCACAGCAGCCTCGCCCAAGGTCCCTACGGTGCCGGAAGTTCTGTTTCCTTTCTGTGTAGCAGCTCTGATGGCTAAAGCAGTCCCCACAGCAACTACAGCATTCGACGTTATCCCAACGGCAGCCGTCGTTGATTTCGCAACTGGAGAAGTTCAACCTGGGCTTCTTGACCGGGTGGCTGAGTGGCTGGCCGTCGGGCCAGCAGTTGACAATCTCGCTGCTGTAGCTGCGGTTCACTAGCTTCATTCGTACAACAAGCATCGCGTGAGCTGCGTGCGACATACCAGCTCAAGCTAATTTGCCCCCTCCACTATTTTTCTCGTTTATTCTCCCGAATCCACATATCCTCGAGAGGCTTTTAGGGATGAAAGCAGTTTCTTCCCAACGTTGCTTCTTTTTTCAATCTCGGTCTACGCTTCTTCATTAGTTACACAGATTGAAAACTAGGTCTGTTTCTCTATGTATGTCTGTATGAACACACGTATTTATGTGTAAACGTGAGTGTATATGGTCAAAATTTCTAAACTGAATTATGATGCGATATTGCCGTCCGTACCGTTGCAGAATAAGTGGCCCGAATGGATGGGAGTAATTCACGCGGACGAGATCGCGTACATCTTTGGCGAACCGCTAAATCAAACCTGGTCATATCGACAGGACGAGCAACAGTTCAGTAAACGGATCATGCGCTACTGGGCCAACTTCGCGCGCATGGGAAACCCCAGTTTAAACCCAGATGGCAATTGGGAAAAAACGTACTGGCCAGCGCACACGGCATTTGGGAAAGAATTCCTCATACTTGACGTTAATTCCACTCAGGTTGGCTACGGTCATCGCGCCAAATACTGCGCCTTCTGGAAGAATTACCTGCCTAACCTTATCGCACTTTCCAGTAAGTCAGTGTACAGGTTGATGTTGAAAAGGATGATTTATATGAACGTGCGCGAAGCAAAGCTCCAATCGTAAACTAGTCATATACGAAATTGAAATGATTTAGTGTACATAGAAAAATTATTATAGAAAAGATGTTTGTACAACATTACGAACTTTGTTGCAAATCAATAATAAGCTCGAGAATTGTATTACAGTCAAATTTATACTCTGTTTTATCTCTGTCTGTGAGCCACTTGTATTTAGTTTAGGCCTGAGCTTGCTTCAAGCAGTAAAACGTCTTAGTTGAAAAAAGCACTGCATAAAAAAGCTTTAAATTCATTCCCTTCAATATGATTTGATTTTTGAAAATACGTATGAGATGGCAAAGCACATAAAAACATAGACAGGAATAATGCGCGGGTGCTTCTGAAGTGCTAGGAACCTAATAGGATAGCAGTTGGGTGGGGGTTTTAAAATCTATTTGCAGGAGAATCATTAACACAGCATGAAAGCTTTTAACAGTGTGAAATTTGGGCAACATAATAGATAGATTTGTAGATAACAAATTTAAATAATAATAAATTTATAACACCTCTATACTTGAGAAAAAAGTAAGCTGCAATAAACGTCTTGCTGAAATTTCAGTTCTGAATCATTTGATAAATATAAAAACTTTTAGCTTATTAGCGCACCAGTAGTACGTTCGTGGGAACGGTTGAAACTGATCCAACATAATATCTTCGTAATTGGTTTTTGTATAATGAAATGTATATTATCGGATTATCGAACTTCCTACTCCTCAAGTGTGCAATTGTGTTTACGCAGGTAAAACATACGATGACGGCAAACTGTGATATATAATAAATTAATAGGAAGACCACATATAACGTTGGCTTGCTCTTAGGCGCTATAAGTGTCTTCCCGGGGCGGTCCATTATGAACTATTACGTATTGGATGATGGTACCGGTAATCTCGCCCCTTCACACAAGCCTTCTAGTAAAGCAGAATTATTTCTAAAATCCCGTATATTCTAGGCTTTAACAAGCACTAACGCATTTTTAAAGACGTTTTTTGTTGCGTGTCAGTATTACTTCCCCAACTATGTAATAAGCGACAAAGATGTTTGGCGAAGAATCCCAGTACACGTTTTGGTTATGGGCTTTCTGGCCCAGCGTTTTTTCCGTAGTCCTCGTTAGTATAGTGGTTAGTATCCCCGCCTGTCACGCGGGAGACCGGGGTTCGATTCCCCGACGGGGAGAGTATTTTCCAACTTTTTTTCACAGTCATTAGTTTACCACATTGCATACTTAGCCAGTTTTATAATGTACAGCGGATGGACAAAACCCAGCTAATCATAGCACCTCGACAGTAATTCATATTTACAGAATCCTATGATTTAATAATTCTGGCGATCACACAAAAACATACATCTGTCATTTGGTGTATTATTGTACAACTTTTATGCACGTCTTTCATTTGCAGACAATAGCAGCAAGACCGATCTGGACTGTGACGGCACGAACGCCTCCACACGCGGTACCACGTCACCCGGCGGACTCCTGCTCGTGCTGCCGCTGCTGACTTTCAGGGTGCTGCTCGCGTAGTCACGTCCTGTCCAGAAACCTCTGCGACTGTTGGTTTTCCCAGTCGTTTGACAGGGCTACCAGCACGGTCATCACAGCATTGCACCCGTACGCAGCATGCCCCTTGACTCCAACGGCACGTCGCGCATACAAGTTGCCTCTGGCGCTCGAAAAATCGACGGAAGGGACGCACCGACAACACTGCTGAGCACTGATAGAGTGAATGCAAACCTTTGAAAAAATGCACTAACTGAACCTTGGTATATACATACATGACCTATAGCGCACCCAACTGCGACGCCAGTATTCCATTGTGGGGCAGAAATATCCCCCATTCCACCTGAAGTCGTCTGATATACACATATATATATATAACAAGAACTGTTCTAATTTCGACCGGTGCCGCATCTCGGACAATATCTCCTACAAATTCCCAGAACCGTGTTGTTTTTATTTGCATCATTGCCCTGGCGGTTTGCGGAATTATGAGCGAAAACAGCTACCCTTTCTATTACTTATAGTTAGCACCGCTACTACCATAACTAGTACTATACTACTAAGGCTATAAATAACTACCAGTGACTATTATTACCATTGAGGTGAAGCTGTGCCGCCCATGGCGCCTCCCCAACGTAACCTTCGTGTTTATGAAGTACAAAACAACTTAGCTGAAGTTGTTCTAATTGCAACAAACAGCAAGACAATCATTTTCAGTGAATGGTTTTGAACATCATAGAATAAGATGACGGGAAGAACTATTAACGCGATGAACATACACCATACGCTAACAAAATCTGATGATAACTAAAGAACACGGTCGATGTTGACAAACGACAGTGTCGATAACTATATACGGCTATGACAACCCTCTAATAATGATGATAATACGAAGCACCTGTACGGAAGAACGAAGAAAGCTACAAAAATACAATAGTGAATTCAAAAACAGGCAAATAGAAATTAGGGCGCGATAATAATGTTAAGAAGTTGCGAGAAACGATAACTCAATAGTACTTATCGAAACAATGCCTATCATGATACGAGAGAGACAGCATTATTTATTATGACAGATATGATCACGGTGATCAAAGCGTAATGTTATATCACAACTGACCTTAGTTGTGGACATCAGTGATAACTAGGTAGAAGATACTCGGGTCAGACGAGAATGGATCGATTTTAAACTCATACTGATTATGGAAAGGCCTTGCCTATTTGGCCTAAGCTAACGTGGCTTCTGGTACGGCGGTGGCAGCTATTGCCACCACGGGAATACACAGGCACACGCAAGAAAATCATCGACTCGCTCTAGTCGCATGCGATAACCAGTTGTTAGGCGCACGGGGAAAGCATCAACGAGTGTGCTTAACTTACCCATTGCAACTATCAATAGGCAATATCCTACGTCAGTGTATGAAGTGCATAAAACGTCGCCTAATAAGTGAGGGTGAAAAATATGATGAAGATTCAGTTCAGTGTCCGCTAAGTAAAAAGGCCGGTTGGAGCTGTGTACATAGCGACCGATGCAAGTTCGCCAAACATGGCTTCCTCATGCGGTCTACACCAGGCACGCATCCATAACATGTTACAACTCTGTTGTTTGGTTCGCCCGCCCGGATCGCGTGCGAAAGCTCAGCCGATTGAAAGTAAAATGCTGCCAGCAGTAATGCAAGTTGTAGGTGATTATAGTATCTGAAGCCTAGGACATAAGTATATCTCTGGATCAGATAGCAAACTTCGTTAACTCTGTTCGTATCGTATGTAAAGCTTATATATAAATATATACATAATAATAAATATTATTATATATATTCTCTATGAGAGTCGCCGCAGGTATCCCTAAAATCGCTGCCGTAAGCTGTTGTCTCTATGACGCATTGTTTTTTCTCCCATTTGCTTCACTTTTCCTATAGCCTAAAACGTAATTCTCACGTACCGCACGGTTAGGCCTTAAGAGTTGTACGATGCACTCAAGATAAAGATTAGAGCGTTTTATTCGCAAAATCAAAGGATCACTGCTCATCAAAGCTGGCCAGCTATGAGCCCGCCATATAACTCTGGCACTTACTCGTCAGAAACAACCATTGTCAGCCGCTTCGACTTTTCCCAAACGTTTTGCTATTATCTGTAAATGGCCAAGTTCACTCTCCTATGGGGTTCCTAACTTGTTTGGTCGCCTCGTTCCAGTTACCAGATACAATTCGTCCTGATAGCGGTTTATTATTTGACAAGCTTATTCGTACCACTGTCAGAACCCCTTCCATATTCTCCAGTGGGCATACTGGAAGCCTGCTTTCCCAATGCTTATCGGAATCGTCCTCACCGCACCCAGCAGAATCGCTTGCTACCGCGTCCGCCAGAGGGGCACCGAGCGCTATCCGACATGTTTCCAGCTGAACAAACAATAGCAGACGCTCGGCGCGTACAAAACGGCGGCCGACCATGCAGAAGTCACAGTGGTACCTCGTTTTTAACTGATTATTAGTTAGATGAATAATACGAACTACTAATAATTATAACAATAATAGTATCACTATTAATAATGATAGCACTATTTAATATATCGTTAGAAAATGGGTCTGCAGAGAAAAGAAAAGCTGTGAGAACTAATAGAGAGAGAGAGAGAGAGAGAGAGAGAGAGAGAGAGAGAGAGAAACGGCGTTAATTATAATTAAGGGATGACACGAAAGGTGAATAACATGAACATTACTATTGTTATCATTAAAATATATCACACAGATGTAAATGCTATAGCAATGAATCGCTGATGGTAATGACGGTATAGTTAGTAATAGATTTGTGGTAATAACATGTACAACAATACTTAATCGTCACGGCCCAGCTCAAGGCCAATAGTCGGTAGCATCATTATGCAGTGCGCGATTACTCAGCTCGAAAAAAACACGCAGATTCGCACGAAGTAAAGGAAGTTCAGATAGCCAGCCAGCCAGCCAAACGCGTGGAAAGAAAGACGAGCTACATATAGTAATATCATACAGAAATTGGCGTTTAGCGCTAATGGGTGAGCTGCCCCCAGGAATCTCGGCTATGATCCAGTAGTCAGCAGCGTTCCAGGTTGACGCTCATTCCCATCTGATACATGTAACGCTACTCTGGACTTCGTTCCAGTTGCACCACCCACTGCAGTTAATACTCCTTGTAAAGCGGCGCATGTCATACGCACGCAACATAGGACAACCCACCAGCGGATATATCCAGGTCAGGCCTAACTGTTCTACATTGTTGCTTGGAGAGGAACGGCCAGCATACAGATACGCAGGTAAAATGGTGGCCTTCGTCACAATCCCACAACGACAGTAGCGACGCCTAGGAACCCGCACGCAGGTAATGCAAATAAGAGCTTCGTTTGTGAATTTTGTAGACGAACCGGAGTTTAACACTACCGGAAATAGCAGAATTCCTTTACTCAGTTGTTCACTAGAAGGCCATACGTTACAAGCTCGCACTTGAATAAAGCACACATAATGCAAACCTAACAACACACAAAGCTCTTTTTTGCAAATGGTTCGTTACCTCACCTTGTATAACATAACAATATCGAACTGACTGATTGTCTGAGAACGGCTGAACTGGCGTTCGGACACACCGATGTTAAGCGTAGTCGATTTGTATGTAGAAAAACACGCATAATTTTTACGTCTAATAACGAAAAACGATTATATCGTAACGAGCGCTTAGATAAGGATGGAACGGAGCTGATCGAAGTCTCTTACCATCGGTTATTGCCAATAACGAATGATACAATACGATCATAAATCTAATAACAATAACTAAATGAAAATAACATTCGAACTAATAAATAAATTAATAAACCATTTAAAAATGAAAATATTACTATTTACAATTATAGTGTTATCGAATTGAGATGTCGTCATACCATGGAACATTACTCAGAGACGTTTGATTCCGAGTGATTTATACGATTTTTCGTATTTAGTGAGATAACAAACGCAAAAAAAAATCTGCATAAATGTTGTCACAATGAGAAGCGGGCACGTTGATGCGCTACTAATTCCAGTTGTACCAATTACAATTTATTATTACAAAATATACACCAACGTTACCTTAAAACCACGTATATACAATTCAGTGCTAAATGAACAATACGGCATTTCGGGGTGGGGGCAGCCGGCAGTGGGATATAGAACGCATACACAGAACACAAAATATCGAACCATCATCGTTTATAACATGATGTTTTTTTCCTCCTCTTTTCCCGTGTTCAGCACAGTTTTTTTATCGTGAAATAATCAGGTCTGATCTAAAATTTTGCTTGATTTGCAAGTAGTTCGCTAATTTTTAAATAAATTCGTTGTCTATTTTTGCTACAATACATAAAGCTCTTTTCAGTAAAAAAAAAAAAAAAAAAATGACAAGATAACTTTGAGTTTTGGCATGTTCATTCTTTCTTCTATGCAACACTTTCTGTTCTACATTTTTTCTTTACATATATTTCATTATGCAGCTATCTCATTGTTCGATGTACGCGAATTCATCTACTAGATATCGTGTCGTCCGTGCCCTTCCGAAGTCGAACTAGTCACACTACACGCACGTAAACGCACTGATCTTTTCAGCGAGCCACCTCAGGGAGTTAGCGCTCCTCGGGCACGCCCTTGAGTCATAAACTGCAAGTTACGTGTACTATAAATAGGTTTACCTATTACGGTTCTAGTAAGACTTCCGTACTCCCTACCTAACCAGTTCCCAGAAAGCTGTTACCAGTCAAACAGCCATCGACGCGCGTACTTGTTTTCACAAAGGGGTAATATCCTGATCCCTTGGCCGGACAACCACTAAACTACACACATCCTGCAGTTCTCCAAAGCGTTATTTTAAATGTAACTTACTTTTACTCATCCTGCTACATTCTTACAAAGTAACACACCTTACATCAAGCTTGTTTACGTACAACGGTGAAGCACGTTTATAGGATTCCTACTGTGTGCACCCCCACCCCGTTGGAGGCTCTCTGGAACTGATCAACGCTGTATACCAAGTTTATCGAAAAAATCTAAACAGCATTTACGCAACCAACACAAATGCCAACTGACTAGTGAGAATGGGTTTGTAACAACATTTTTACTCTCGTGACGAGAACTCGCAAACTATATAAGAAAACACACAAACGACTGTTCTAAGATTAAGAGAACGATTCATATTAATACGAAGAAAAAATACACTAACAATAATACTAGCTAAGCCGATAAATTGCAAATAGTTTTTTGCAGACTTGCTTGGCAAAAATCCTGTTTCTTCTGCCGCCTCCTTTGCAAAATTTTACCAATTTTCAGCTAAAAAATACCAACCTGTGGTTATATTGTAAC